AGTCAAAGCCTTGGCAGTTGAGAATATTGGAAATAAGTATCTGACTTTTGGAAAGAGCTAAGGCGAAGTCTATCCCGAACAAAAGACCAAAGACGAATCTCTCCGACCGATAAACTTATGCTAGGGCCTTTCTCGACGAGGAAGGTAAAAGCATAATGACAACTGAGGCAAAATTCTCTTCCAGAAATGGAGTTAATATGTGTTCCTTCGCGATCTAATAATTTTTAAGGCATGCCTTCTCTCAGTGTGTAAAAACAAACAAAAATTGTGTGATTATGCAGACAAACGAATTTTTTTGTCAGATGATCATGCGCAAAGACATTTTTTGTCTGATAATCAAAATTTGTTAGAACTTGACAGCAAGAAAATTAAAAATTTTAGGCAAGTCTTGTCGGCCAATTTTTTCAAAAATCAGGCAAAATCAGGCAGATAAAATCACCCATCACAACGAATCGGTGCAAAATAGGATGATGAACTCATTTACTGGATAAGACAGGTGAAGAAGTAAAGCAGAAGATGAAAAACTGAGTTGTCTGTGGGTAGCACGCACTTGTACTTCAGTAACAGAGAGAGCCTCACATTGATAGCGCGAATGTAAAAAAGAAATAACTTAAAAAGAAGATAAAAAGAACTAACTTTGACAAACTTGAGATTTGACAATAGCTGAGCATACGATGTACTATTAGCTAATAGCTGATCAGCAGTGAAATTCTTGCCAACAAATGCATCCTTGCTGGGTAAATCCTTCAGGGTGATGCCGAAGAAGTTCCTCTCCAGGTGAATATTAAAGCCATCAATTTTGGCCACCGGATATGACAACGTTGTATCATCGGATAATGGCTCATTGCGCTCCAAATGGGCTCGTTCAACGTCTACACCTTGCTGATAAACGTTCACTCATTCAGACAATGAAGACAAAGGCGTGTAATATTTTGCAAAAGAAAATGGCCACTTGGACAGTACCCCTGTGAGCACCAATCGGTGGTATATAGCTCAGGAACGAAGGACCGGCATAGTTGCGCCAGGTGTTTGGAAAAAAATTTCAGCTATCTATTCTCATAAACGGCTCTTCCTAATATTAAATACAATGATTGTCCGTATCGCGCTTTAACTTCTCTTCCTCCCTTCCTTTCTTACTTTATTGTTCCTTTACTTGTATCTACTTCTCCCTCTCATCCGTCTTGCAAATCAGTTACATGACTATTCGAAACACGGCGGGTAAGAGGCTGTACTGATGATCCCCGCTCCTACCCGTATGCACTGTTCGGTCTGTGTACGCAGCTAAGGGATGAAACACAGACTGCGTTATAAAATGTCTTCATACACATGACGTTCAAGTGAAATCCTTCTATTTTTCTATTTCAGTAACACTGTTAATTGTGGGATATCCGACTGATATCCCGGGCTGTTTTGAGTTCTTAGTGATATTCTTGCATTATCATTAATTATATCAACTGTTTTTATGTGTGAAAAAAACTATTAATCACTATGCTCTTTTTGTGCGATTCCTGGACCCCTCCTTCTTCAAGTTCTAAAATGTTTTCATGATACATTTTTGATAACAGTCTAAAAACCCTAATACGATTACTAACTGCTGCTTTTTTAGATAAGCAGTTGAAACGATGGGGAGAGGTAGAGGGTTTAGAGGGATGTGAAGGGGGCAAGAAGGGGTTGAAGAGCTATAACTTACTTTGAACAATCGTATAGCAATATTCATTGCACAGTACGGTGAGCAAAAATTTTCATATATAACAGGTTGCTTGTTGTGAGTTACACTGTGATTAGTCATTAGATAGCTCGTCAGCCGATTAACCTCGGCAAGGTACTCGTCGCGCAGCATCGAACCACCATCTTTGGCTGTCAGCATTACCACAGTCATCATTGGGTCTCCTGCAAGCGAGTCTCTCGATTTCAGACAAACTGATTAGCAGCAGTCACTCATTTTCTGGTTCCGGTGAAGGAAATCAAGTCCTTTAAGATACGTGAAAACTTGAAATAATTAATTCACAAATTTTAGAAGAGCTAAGTTTCTAGTACGGCATCCGAGGGCAGTGCAACCAGGAAAGCATTAGTCAAGAGAGTACTGATCACAGCAGTAAATTATGCAAACAAACTTTTTGCCTGAGGAGGATGAAATAAACTAAAATGAAAGGTACTAAATTTAGTTGGAGAATATTTCGCATCTCAATAAACCCAAAGATCAGGAGGGAAGAAAATTCAAATCCCTAACTTCAAGATTGTAGCTTCTTGCATGAAATAATAAGATCAGAGATTCTGGTTCTAAATACCACTGGACTTATTGGAAAGCAGCTGTGTTTCATTCATTAGCTGTAAACCAATCTGAGCAGATCAGGCAAGTTCGAGTCGGAAACATTAGTGCATCCACCTAGTCGCTAAGACACTAGTAAAGAAACGACACTGGAAGACAAGAAGGTGGAAAATAACAAGAGAAGACATAAGTGGAAGAATTTATCGTTAAAAGCAAGTTTGAGAGAGAAATTACTTTGTGAAAGAATTTATAGTTGGTAAATGTGACGCAAGACAACATTACAGTAATAATCTACAGCTTTCGTATTCCCCTTCTAATTATACAGATAAGTTAAACAAAAATCAGTAATAGCGGGTTAGGCAGATCAACTCTGGCTTAGAAGCCTCGTTTTGGAAGGCTGCTCATTTGCATCAAAATTTTAGAATAATTCACTTCCCCAGTGCAATGGCCTGATCTACATCCTCTGGTACTAACCTGATGAGGGCTTAACCGAAGACTTCGTGTTTCAAGCAGTAATTTTACCTGAAAATCGTAAAAGTCGCCCACTCTCACTGACCGAGTGCAAATTACTATTATTCTTCTAGTGATTGATACTCTAATACAAAACCTGAGGTATTCCAGAATTCCCTGAGCACGTCCATTTCATATCGCGATGGTGCATTCGTTGGCGTATAACCGTCCCGTATTCGATCACGCAAAACTATTTTGAACATACCAAAAGAACTTGATGAGATCATTAGTGATAAGAATATGTACACTATTGGATAGGAGCCAATACTTTCACCTAAAATTGAACTTTTATACGCTCTGCACCCGTTCGGAAAAGAAATGCTTTTGCTTTAATCCACTGCAACGAATCTTTATTTTGATTTCTTTTTGTCAGCATTTTCATTCCCACTAAATCTGTTGTGTTCATCAATGTGTTGTGATGTACCGGTCATGCCGCAAAGCCGCGCCCGACTTGATGCGCGTCACAGAGCGCTCATAGGACGTAAGGAGCTCTCTTTACTACATCTCTCATTGTTATTCTGTTGGTCGTCTTCATCTAATACACTGTTCTACCTCGTCTCGACGCAGCACACTCGACTAATGTTTATAAGATAAACGTGTTTGCTTCTGATGTCATATGACAGTCTCAAGATGCTCCCTTGGATTCTAGCTGGCAAGGTACCAATCTGGCCCAGGAACGACAGTAACCGGAAACAGGATGATGATGCTCAACAACGACACCTCAATATTGCTAAAGTCTTGTCAGGTGCTTTCACTGGGAGG